CGTGCCCACCCCCCCCCCGCCTTGGGGACTCTCCCCCAAGAAGGTCCACAGCAACGCTTTCCTCCCAAATCCTCGAGCTGGGATGATCCCAGTTTCCTCCGCCCCACGCCCCGCAATTCGCCCTCCCTTATCTCGCACGGGCTGGCAATCTCCCGAGGAATCGGACACCTCGGAGCGAGCACGGGCAGCTGAGCCCGGAGGAGAGGGACAGGTAAGGTGCCAGCAGGGACGAGAGGCCTTCTCCTGCAGCATTTTGGGGTGCGCTGTCCTCCGGAGCCCCTCTCTGCTCTGTCCCGGTTGCTTTGGCTCCATCCTGGTGGGTTTCTGGGCTCCGTTCCTCCATCCCAGCTGCTCCCCCTCTCTTCTGGCCCCGCTACCCCCACCCCATGCTTTGAAAACTGAGAAACCAAGTCAACCCCAGCCCACCGCTTCTCAAGAACAAAATCCCGTTGGACATGTCCCACCTAGCACTGTGTCTGGTCCCTGGGGAGCAGAGGGACGTGCCGGGCTGCTCCATCCCCCAGCTTTGGGGGCTGGCTGTGCTGGGGAAGGGGGTCCCCCTCCCTCCTGGGCCAACCCCACTTGCCGCAGGGGCAGAAGGGAATGGGGTGGCTTTGTCCACTGGCCAGTCAGCTGCGTCACCCAGCCCACGCTCTGGGATTTTACCCCGTGGTCAGGTCTGGACGCCCTCGTCTGAACCAAGGCAAGTGGTATTTCCTTATCAGCAGGGCGGTGCTCAGAGCCTCCTCTCAGGATGAGTCCCCACACAGGGCTGGTGAGCCGCCTGCGGGCAGCCTGGCTCTCGGGGAAGACGCGGCCCATGGAGTACTGCGTGGCCCAGCTGGAGGCCCTGGGACGTGTCCTGGATGAGAAGCAGGACATCCTGGAGGCCACCGCCTCGGACACATGGGCAAGGAGACCACCATGGCCAGGGCGGCTGGTGGGGAGTGCTTCCCCTTCCATCACTTGACTTTCCCACCCACCCCCCTCTTTCCTTCATTTATAAACCTGTCTGTATCTCGACCCGAGTTCTCTTGCTTTTGTTCTTCCGAGTCTCTCCCCATCCTGCTGCAGCGTAGTGGCAAACGGCCGGGTGCGTGCTTGGTCGCTGGCCGGGGTCAGCCCACTGCACCAGGGGAGCGGAGGCCTTTGTTTTTGCCGTTATCTTCAGCTTAGCCTTTGGAGATGCCCCTGGGGGTGGGGAACCACACAGCAACTTGCTCTGGCTGCACAGCAATGGGATGAATTAGCTCTAGGGAAGCTTTTACAGAGAGCAATTGGGGGCCCTTGTTCCCATCTCCACCTCCGGAGCTGTGTCTGCATCGTGCCGTGTCTGGTGTCGCTGAAGCTCTTGAGATACCAAATCCATGTCTTCAACCGCGACCTTCTACTGTGTCCCGGGAACCTGCTGGCATGGAGCGGCATGGGGCCAGGCAGCGTGCCGTGACGCGGGTGGCACACCGGAGGGGTGGCTGTGCCACCCACCCTTGCCACTGCAAGGCCACAGGGTGTCCCTGGGGGTGTCTGCCCCAGCAGAGAGGGTCACATCCTGCTATGGCTGCCAGGAGACTTGGTGCGGACCTCTGTGAGGACAACCATTGTGGGGTGGCCATGGGGCTGCGCCCACAGGAGTGGCCATGATGACCTCCTGTGCGTCCCCAGCCGCCCTTTGGAGTGGCGCTC